TAGTTTTTTCATCCTTCCTCGTCTTTACTACCGCCCAATGAGTCAGCCCTCCTAGCACCAAAGGCCTCTCCAAGTGCATGTGTGATGGCCTACAGCCATGCTAACCTAGATAAGATCCAATCTCCCAAGTGATGAGAGATGCAGGCTGTTTAGTAAAAGACATGTCTATTCTTCCTGGAGCACCATTGTGGAGGTGCTTCTGCTGCATTCACACCTAGCTGCCATATGTCCTAAGGTGATGGTCTTGATGGGCTGCTTCAAGTACTGCTGGCATTTGGTACAAGGATACCTCTAGATTGCTACTATCAAGTGGTACTTGCCATGTTGTTTGACTGTGGGTTATGTATGTTTACATATGTCCTGCACATGAGGTGTATTGAGTTCTCACAGGGGTATATGTGGGATAAGTGATGTGTTTATTATGTGGTATGAGGATATACAAACAGTCATTTGGGAAATGATGTGATATGTATAGTAAAATGAGAGCATCTCTTGGGGACTCAGAGCATGACATATTGGGGAGTGTGTTGTCTGGTGATGCTTTTCTTGGTTTGATTTTCTTGATTTGCACAGTGCACTGGTTTACAGTTAGTGTTCCCAATATGGTCTGCACATTCCTGACTTTAGGCCAGACCAATTTTATTTCTTGGTTTACAGATTTTTGTCCTCAGAAAACCTAAAGGCAGGAGGGAAAAAAAATATAAATAAAATCACCAGTCAAAGTAATATTCCTTCTAAATACTTGAAGTATTTTACTTTTGGCAATTTATGAAGTGTATATGGGGCAAAAAACAATCTAGTGCCATTTTCTTGTAAGTTTACATTTTTGGCCCACAAAAACATTAGGATTTTTATTTTTTGAGCGGGGAAAATTAATTTATATTTTTTTTCTTATTTTTGAAAAAATACGACAAGCAGATCCGTAAAACAAGAAATATAATTGGTTTGGCCTTATGAGCATGTGTTTATGAATTCCTGTCAAATCGTGATGCAACCATGTTTGCATAAAGGCGATTGTACCTTGCCCTCAGACTCAGACCAATCACAAACACATGCAAAGGCATGTCAGTTTCCACCTGAACAATTCTACTGAAACATATAGTACAAATTGAAATTGCAGCCGACATACTTTTGTCACTGATGCACAGTTCTGAGATTTTGTGTTCTTCACATTTGATCAAAGCGCTATATTCCTAGTTTGCAAAACTGCATATAGGATTGGTTTCTAAATTTGCCTTTCCTTTTGTTAGCAGCATAACCAACAATGAGCTCACCAATGAAAGAAGTAAACACACATTTAGCATAATTTGTTTTAAGTAACCAAAAACCCATTCTAATAAGCAGTATGTTCTTGTTTGAAAATCTGAAAGATAAAACCACAACACAAACTTACTGTCTTGTTTTCATATGAGAACCTGGATATCTGAATAGTTTAAATTGTGATGCTGACGTGGTATATCTACACTGAAAAGGTCTTATCACCATCTTCAGGCTTGATGAAGATATTTATGGATGTTTGAAAATTTTATCATGGAAGCAATGATAAGCATGATCTAAGACAGATTCCAATAGTAGGGATAAGATGGCAATTGCAAAATAATAAGGTCACACTGATTTGCTAACCATGTTTAAAATGTGTAGCCAAGGCCAGTGTGGTGTGGTAGATCATGTTAACTTTCTTACCTCTGCTGTCAGTTTTATGATGAGGAAATGATAACTTAGCCTTCCTCTTTAATCTCACAGCGAGCTTTCTTCTGAAGTCAGGATGGGTCGTCTTAATATCAACGCCAAACATCTATACTAAATAAAACATTAGGGAACATGCAGAAATTAGCAGATATTTTTATGAACTTGTTTGCTTGGTTTTCATGATCCTAAACTTTTGTGGTTGTGTAAGTTTGTTTAAAGTTATGGTAACTATCATGATCATATTCTGTAGTAGCACTTGAGAAACAGAAAAGAATTATTTGAAAATGTCTTTCTTCCTGAACTTGTGCCTATGTAAGTAATATCTAACAAGCATGCTAGGATGAAAGAGATGAGGTGAGGTGAAATTGGGTTTAACGTCGTGCTTGAGAATATTTCGCTCATATGACGACGTGCATGCGTGTGTATGTGTAGGTGCGGCTGCTTGTACTAGCCCAGACTGAAGCTGGTTTTATAGTGCTAGCTCACTGAGATACCATGCCACAGTGAAGCATGAATACCCGACTCAGACACATTATACTGACTCTGAGCCGACCAGTCCTTGTTGTACCCATTAATACCGAGCGCCAGGCATGGACCAACAAGTACCATATTTTAACGTCTTTTGGTATGACGCGGTCGGGGATCGAACCCGCGACCTTCCGCTCTCCGGGCGGACGCTCTAACCACTTCACCACGGAGGCGGTCCTAGGATGAAAGAGGGTAAGAGTGGGTAGGTAGACACTTGTGTGAAGACTGGAGGCTGTGTTGGGGATAGTCTGTCTCACAGTCCCTGAACCATATCATTTTCCCTATAGCCTTGCCTTCCCTGCAATGCTAAACCTCTAAATAAGCAAGTCTATTTCCCCAGGCTCTGGTCACCCCAGGGCTCCTTTTCAATTTGAATGGGTCTATTTGTTACAGTCAAAATTATATATATTCAGGGACTAGTCTAGGGGAGTAAGCAAGATGATATGAATGAGGAAATGAGAGAGAGAGTCTTCTTGGTGAGGTTCTTCATGATGATCCTGAAGATGGAGGTGAGGGAAGACAGGCGAATGTGGGACGGAAGATGGATGAGAGTGGGAAGGAAAACTGGCAGAGTTTCTAGATTTGTGAGAATGTAATAAGTGAGGGAGTATTGATGGTGTTAAGAGGAAAGTGATGGCAGGGTGTCCAGAAGAGTGAAAATGTAATAAGTGATGGAGGATGGATGGTGTTCAGATGGAACTGATGGCAAGGTGTCCAGAAGAGTGAAACTGTAATAGGTGAACCAAGATAGATGGTCTCGGGATGGAATTGATGGTTCTAGAAGAATGAAAATGTAATAGTCTAGGGAAGTAGGATGGCATGGTGTCTAGAATTACAATGAAGAACCTGGTTAATATGTGGATGAGGTTGAGGTTTGCTTGGTTGTTGTGTAATGCCGCACTCAGCAATATCCCAGCATATGGTGGCGGTCTGTAAATAATTGAGTCTTGACCAGACAATCCAGTGATCAACAGCTTGAACATCGATCTACACATTTATGATACAATGACATGTATCAGCCAAGTCATAGCGAGTCTGACCCCCCGATCCCGTTAGTTGCCTCTTACCTTTGACTGGTGATATTAGACGAAAATTTGAAAATATTTCTGTATTGATATGTGCAACACTAGATACAATCTGTGCGGTAAACCTACATTAACTGGCAGCATTTACAACAGCTGGCATGTTGACATCGGTTGGAGTACACAGTTATGACTCAAGCATGCAATATACCATATATACAATGTTCTCAACAAGCTCTGTTACTGAGACTTCGATCCCAGTTGTGTGTCTGCCCGCTTTGATGTAATTATCCTGCACACAGTAGCCCAGTCTCATTAGATTGGATGAGACTATTTGCAGGGCATATCATTGTCTCATACTTTCAGAAGTCTGATACTTTCATTACAGATATATATGCACTGGCAATTATCAATTTGAGAGTTAGGATTGTGTTGTATATCATCAGATGGTAAAGGGACCTATATTGAATCTTTTCACCCGATAACTGATCATTCTGAGAATAGGCTAATGGGTAAATTGGTGTTGGATTTTATCATTTCACAACAGAGACCCATAACGTATTGGAATGTCAAACTGAAATATTTGGAAGGTATTCCATGTGAAGAGTAATGCATCTGGTAAAGGATACACCCATGGGTGAATTGTTATTGCTCATGTGTTTAATGTCAAATGAATGCTGCATGTCTTTGTCATTTCCTACTTTCGGGGCAGTGGGGTAGGCTAGTGGTTAAAGAATCCACTCGTCACATGAAGACCCGGGTTCGATTCCCCACATGGGTATAATGTGCGAAGCCCATTTCTGGGGTCCCCGCCTTGATATTGCTGGAATATTGCTAAAAGCGGCATAAAACAATACTCATTCACTCATTACCTACTTTCAACATTTGCCTCAGATCGAGTACCTGTAGGTTCAGAGGCTATAGGGGGCGGTGGGGAAGCCTAGTGGTTAAGGCGTTTGCTCGACACGCTGAAGACCTGGGTTCGATTCCCCACATGGGCACATTGTGTGAAGCCCATTTTGGTGTCCCTCCGTGATATTGCCGGAATATTGCTGAAAGCGGCGTAAAACTAAACTCACTCACACACTCACTCAGAGGCTAAAGGAGGAGGATGTATAAATAAAACTATACATGATGAAATGGCCTTCACATTCCCTTTCTCTGACATTTAACCTATTTGGGGTGTTTACCACCACAACATGAAGCCATGGAAACTCACGGTTAATTTATCACATGTGATTGTTCCGTTTGGAATGCAATTTTTGTCTATTTGTGTGAAATTACATGGTAGATGGATGGTGCTCTGTGGTATTATGCAAATACACTTGCACACCACCTGATTGTTTTGTTTGAACCCATCGGGAGACAGGTATGTATTTGGATGTCCACACACGCAGTGATGTACAAGGCTGGAGTGAGCTGGTCACATGCTGTGTGTTTGGACAGTTATTGGGACAGAGATGAGCAAGTCAGTTGGTCTGGAGCCAGGTTAGCTCACTGGTAGCGATCTGAAGTAACTTATTTCCACTTCACTGGACAGTATTTTGCTGGTGATTTCATGCAGGTGTGAGTGTGAAAAGACAGTTTTGAAAGCCCTCTCCACATCGCTGTATCACACGTAACACAGCTGACCTCACCAGTGAAAAGGATAGGGACAGTTATTTTGAATATAAATCCATGACAGACGTTATTATGCCTGGTCGGATTGTGCTGGAACTTTACTTTGTGAAAATGTATGGACTTTTGTAGAAAGGATACATGATGCAGGTGGTTTGCTTTGACATTCATTGCTGTGGATTATTTTTAGAAATTTGAAATAAATGAGTGGATAGAACAGCGCTGCGGATGCACTAATGTGGTTGCTGGGACAGTGGAAGGATGCTCCCCAATAATTGGTTTAGGAAACAGACTATAGTTCTTCTGGCGGGGCTTACACTGTGCTGTGAATTATTCCTGAGGTATGCACTGCCTTGAGTGACACAGAGAAACAGAATCTGCCGACTACCAGAGGAGTAAAGCAGCACATCCACGCAGGAAGCTTCTGTCAGAATGCCCCCCTCCCCGTGCGTTTGGTTGGGTAGTAGCTTCCTCCCATCATCCACACACCGTAGTCCTGTATCTGTGTCTGTAAGTGACTACTACTACGCTGCCACCATTCATGAGGCGATGTGCATCCCACTTCTGACACCAGTTGGGGAACTGTCCTATATCCTTCAATTACACAGAGAAGGCAGGCAGTAATATAGGAACTAAAGGCATTTATCTTTGTGAGACTATTTGACTGCACAATGAGCTATGATCACAGACAGTGAAGGATTACTGGCCAGTCACATCGAGGGATTTCTTAGTAAAGTGAGTATGGTGTATTACTGTTTTAATGGCCCTCTGGGGTGTCTCAAGCTATGAATGACTTGATGATCGCAAGTCAACAATTTAGGCTACCAGGGATTATGATGAGCCTGTGTTAGTATTTGCATTGATCTGAATCTTTGTTTATGCTTTGAAGTTCTGTTTCTTCCCGCTAAGTGTACCGGTTTCAGACTTGAATCTTTAAGCGGGAGAGCCGAGGGAGAGACAATCACAGAGATAAGCCGAGAGATTTCACCCTTGACCTTTCAAACTGCTGTAATGACTTTACCAGATCAAATGTTACATCTGCTTATGAAATTAAATCTTTCAGTTATCTTGAGTTTAAAATCCATTTGCTGATTTTAAGGAATAATGTTAGATTTGATGAAATGGGTATTACTGTTTTAACACTTGTCAATATAACTGAACATTCTGGGTGCATTCTTGAAACTGTTTGTCACTTTACTGTTACCTTTACCATCCTCTTTACCATCCTAAGGGCTTCTGTATATTTTGCAGGGGCGGTGGGGTAGCCTAATGGTTAAAGCATCGGCTCGACATGCTGACGACCCGGGTTCGAATCCCCAAATGGGCACAATGTGTGAAGCCCATTTATGGTGTCCCCTGCCGCGATATTGCTGGAATATTGCTACAAGCGGCATAAAACCCAACTCACTCACTCACTGTGTTCTAGCGTAACCTTGTAGATTTGAACTATTAATGCTGTGACATTTTGTATTCAACATCTGATCTCCACATTTGAAAGGGACATATATATATAGTTGCACTGGCAGTGTAATTTGGAAATACATTATGTTCTGAGTTTATGAGGCACATGTGTGTTCTGACTTCAGCATCAGGCATTTAGTTGTCTTATATCCGGGTTCATCTCCCCCCACCCAGCTTCTGATATTTACAGCTGATGCAAGTTGTCAAAGTAAAACAGAATGTAAATATCCAGTCATTGGGGTGGGGTGGGTGGATTTGGTTAAATGTGATGAAGTATGTTCTGGTATACTTTAAATGTATCAGAGATCTCGTAAGTGCAGTCAGTGAGTTCTGGTATGACAATCTTCTCTTGATGAAAAAAGCTGCATGTTTTTGTTTATATATTTTTAAATGAAACTCCACGCAGGATGTTGGTTCCCTTTATTGGGTTTCCTTCGACAAATATTTCAGAAATTTTATAGAATTTGCATGAAACCCCATAGGAAGGCAGTTAGACAGGTGCTTCGATCCAGTGCATTCAGCATACTGAGGAAATGTCAACATGTTTTTGTCATTGTGAGTAAACTTGTTTGTTTATAAACTAAGGATAGAATGTATGTATCAGGATATGAAAGATTCCTCAGGATATAAAGGATGTGTTCTAAATTTGAATAACTGATTAAACTATTTCTTAGTTGAAATTGTGTTTAAACTGATTTTCTCCCCAAATTACCAGTGCAGTTGCACTGTGTTGTCGCCTCACTTCTCAGTATTGGGTAAAGGATGTGTTTCTTTAATGCCAAATCTTTGTCATTATCATGACATTGTACTGGTTTAATACTTAGATACTGTAGCAGGGGTTCAGGCTTCGAAATAGTTACAACAATTCTAACAATTGTTATCCCTAAAACGTTTATAATTGATCTCAGGACCTGTGAAAACAAATGGAGGAATTGGAATGTATGACTTTCGAAACTGACTCCACCCATTAGAAGGCAGTGGTAGTTTGTAATGAGACATAAGGAAGGGCTGTGCTGAAAAAGGTTATGGGCATTTTGAGGCAGCAAGGGCGAAACAGATTCCTGCAGTTCCGTCTTGTAACCATGCCCTCTGATGCACAGGGAGGAAATGTAAGTAATGATGTTTATGGTATATATGATATCCTGTGTGTTTGGGCTCCATCAGTCATGGCAGTTTGTATGAATGTTTTTGTGTTCACCTTTCCTTGCTTCCTATGTTATATCAGTGGTTACAGGAAGAGGTGTGAATATGAATGTAGACGGTGAAGATAAGCAGGGATATTTCTGTTTTCACACCACTGAGTATGGTTTGATAATCCTTGCAGGTTTTGCACAGCCTGTGGTTATGCATTAAAGTAGGGTTGTCTGCTGAAGGAAAACAGTGTCCTGCTGTGTCGAGTGTTTAAATGGCTTTATGTTGTTTAAGAAGAGCTTTTGATAAACAGTAAAACTTTTAAAAAGGGGTTGTATTTGGAGTTTGTCACATTCCTGAAAAGGAATTATCTTCCATTTTGAAAAGAAATCTTACTTGTGTTTTGTGTATGTTTTCAAGTATAGAATCTCAAACATCTGTGATGTTTTGATGTTTAACTACCATCATAACACACTGAAGCACATTTCCAAGTGTACAAACAACAATGCATGATATGCTGCTTGCCTGAGCACGACACTTTCTCTTGACACATGAGTCAGTGATCACAATCAACAGTTTGCTTGCATCAACAACAGTATGAATTACAAGCAATGGAGAATTAAATTTGTATGTTTATTTCGTTTTGTTTATTATCGCCAACTCTTGTATTCATGAAGGATTAATGTAAAAATTACAGTGTTGGAAAATACCTATACTGATAGTGCTCAAAATGACCATACTTATTAGTTAAACTATTAATGGAACGTCACAGTGAGGTCCAGTGACTTAAATGTTAAAGATCGGTGCAGTACGTACTGGTTAATATCATGTAACTTTTTCTCAGGACTGACTTTGATATCAAAGATTGTGTCTCATACATTTCTCAGACAATCGGTGCACATGCTGTTGATCACTGGATTGTCTGGTCCAGACTCAATTATTTACAAACAGCCTCCATATTGCTGGAATATTGCTGAATCAGGCCTACCAAAGAAAACTTTCCCACTGTGCAGAAAAACATAGAAAAGCCCACATTAATCGTGGAAATAGCAACATAAACACATTACCTCGCTACTGAAACAGTAAAAACTGCAACGAAAAACTATGAAACTGCAACATTTTCATAGTTTTCATAGTTATCAGCGAACTTTGACCTCTACTGCGCATGCGCATTATGATCCGGGCTTCTTTCCAATTTCCGAGCAACCGTGAACCGCCTCGCGTAAAAAAAGTATTAAATATATCGAAATAATTGCTGTCAATTGTTTCATACGAATGGAAAGTAAACTAAACAAGTGTGCACACAAGTATCATGATGATATATGCCAAATTACACAACAGAAATACTTAAAAAGGAATGTAACTTTTGTCCAAGCTGGAAAATGTCAACATGCAGTCGAGACTTCCTCTTCCATGTGCGCATGCGCAAAATCGAAGTTGCGGGCTCCTCGTTTTATGATGCAGTGTTAGCGATTTAAAGTTGCCGTTTTCACTGTTTCAGTAGCAAGGTATTATGTTTATGTTGCTATTTCCATGATTAATGTGGGCTTTTCTGCGTTTTTCTGCACAGTGGGAAAGTTTTCTTTGGTAGGCCTGTGAGTGTGGCGTAAAAACTAAACTCACTCACTCACTCACGTGGGAGAGTTGTTTCCCCTGGTCCTGCCAGGAACTGCTGATTATGAGTTTAAAATTTGGCAATGATTATGATCTTCGGTTTATCAACATGTGGGTTCCACCAAGATGGTACCACATCAGACTTGCCCTATTTGTGACCTTTCCTTCCTACATTAAGCTGCTGTATTGATGTAACTGAAATAACATTCAGTGCAGCATAATACCTATCTACCTCACTCAGATCACAACATGTTATTCCATGTTTACCTACATATTCATGATTGCTGTCATTGGTTAAACAGAAATGATCAGTAACATGTCAACAAATGTATTTATTAAGACAGTTTTGTACACAGGATTTGGAGTGGAGTGTTTGCGTTGTACATATCTTGAATGTTGTGACAGATGAATATTGAATGCTGGAAGTGTTTGAGTGGGATATATATACATAGACGACTACACCCTTACGAAGGTATTGATTTCTAGCCTCTGTATCAATAAGGAACTGTAGCTACACCACATCTAAATCACTCCTGGCAAAATATCGAATTTTGCAGTATAAATCTGTAGATTTGGGAAATGTATTTTCTTGATAAATTGCAGCTGTTGGATATACTCTTATTGATTCTGATGGTTGGTTATAAGATGAGAGAATTTACTTGGTCTTTCAACCCTGCTTTATCACTACACTTCTGGGCTGTAATCATAAAATATTACTTGGATATTTTTGCTTTAGTTCTTCAGTAATCAGTGATATTACTGTGTGGTGGTTTAAAAAATGGGTCACTTCTTGGGTTTGGTTCAGTATGAGTGTTTGAGTACAGCTTTTGATTATAGCAATTTCAATGTCGAATGGGAAATTACTGTATACATTTAGGACTTCAAGGATGAATAATCACAAAGTTCAAAGGGTACACTTTCAGATGTCTAAAGCTTGACTCATGCGACCTGTGAAATGGCTGACTTGACAATATAGTTTAGTAATATAATTTGAAACAAAAACAGTATTCCTGCATCATCCTTCATTGTACAATTTATGCTCAGTGAATCGGGCGTAGTATTCTATTATTCTGTCCCTGCATGTTTATAGGCTGTGGGGCTGGTGGCATAGTTGTGAGAGTATTTGCTTATCAAGCCAAAGGCCTGGGTTTGATGCCTCACATTGGTACAATTTGCAAAAACTGTTTGCCTGTCCACTGATGTGATATGCCTGGACTATTGCTGAAAATTGGTGTAAAATCATTCCTTCCTGACATGTGAACTGGGAGGGGAGAAATGCTCAGAGAGGAGTTTGTAGATTGTACATGGTATGGGTGGGTATTGCAAAGAATTTTCATATTGTGATATATTGCGATGCGAAAGCATGTATTCCGATATGTATCGCAATATATTGCAGGACGTTAATGCTTGATTTATAAAGCAAAAACACAACAAAATCACTATGCCTGATTAAGCTTAAATAAAAACTACTTTACCATTGCATATTCTACATACAGCGTTACTCTTACCAATAGTTCCATCTACCGTGA